TTTTTTTTTTTTTTTTTTCTTCATTTTTTTTTTTAATCGCCATTTTCACCTTTTCTCCCTCATTTTTCACCCCAATTCCAGGGATAAATTTAAAAAAGCCTCCATTTCTTTTCCCCAACGATTTTATTTATATTTTTCACCATTTTATTTTTAACCTTTTCCCCCTTTTTTTACCTCTTTTTAGAGTTGTCACGTGTGTGGAAAATTCTGGTTGATGCTCGCGCATGCCCGATTTTATATTTGAATTTATTTTTTAAGGGGTGGGGGGGGTGAAAATTTTGGGGTGAAACACCCCAAAAAAATGGGGGAATCGGGTAAAACACCCCCAGCAGCGTCGGGGTGTTGCCGACAACACCCGCAGGGGGTGGATTTTGGGTGAAAAAACAGGAAAAAAGGGGAATTTGGGAAGCGAGGAGTGGTGGGGGTGGGGGGAGGGGAGGGTTGGGACTCGGTGCTGCCGCCGAGGTGAAAAAAACCAGGCGGAAAAAAGAGGTTTTGGGTAAAAACGGAGAGAAAAAAGGAGGTTTTGGTAAAAAAAAGGAGGAAAAAAGGAGGTTTTGGTAAAAAAAAGGAGGTTTTGGTAAAAAAAAGGAGGTTTTGGGTAAAAACAGTGAGAAAAAAGGAGTTTTTTGGTAAAAAAAAGGAGGAAAAAAGGAGGTTTTGGTAAAAAAAAGGTGGTTTTGGTTAAAAAAAAGGAGGTTTTGGGTAAAAACAGTTAAAAAAAAGGAGGTTTTGGTTAAAAAAAAGGAGGTTTTGGTTAAAAACTGAGAGAAAAAAGGAGGTTTTGGTTTAAAAAAGGAGGTTTTGGTAAAAAAAAGGAGAGAAAAAAGGAGGTTTTGGTTTAAAAAAGGAGGTTTTGGTAAAAAAAAGGAGAGAAAAAAGGAGGTTTTGGTTTAAAAAAGGAGGTTTTGGTAAAAAAAAGGAGAGAAAAAAGGAGGTTTTGGTAAAAAAAAGGAGGTTTTGGGTAAAAACAGTGAGAATAAAGGAGTTTTTTGGTAAAAATAAGGAGGTTTTGGTAAAAAAAGGAGAGAAAAAAGGAGGTTTTGGTTTAAAAAAGGAGGTTTTGGTAAAAAAAAGGAGGTTTTGGTAAAAAAAAGGAGGTTTTGGTTAAAAACAGTGAGAAAAAAGGAGGTTTTGGTAAAAAAAAGGAGGTTTTGGGTAAAAACTGAGAGAAAAAAGGAGGTTTTGGTAAAAAAAGGAGGAAAAAAGGAGGTTTTGGTTAAAAAAAGGGAAAAATGAGGTTTTGGTAAAAAAAAGGGAGGTTTTGGTAAAAAAAAGGAGATTTTGGTTAAAAGGAGGTGGAAAAAAATGAGGTTTTGTTAAAAAAAGGGAGGTTTTGGTTAAAAATAGGAGGAAAAAAGGAGGTTTTGGTGAAAAGAAGGAGGAAAAAAATGGGGGTTTTGGTAAAAAAATGAGATTTTGGTAAAAACCAGGCAGAAAAAAGGAGGTTTTGGTAAAAACCAGGTGGAAAAAAGGAGGTTTTGGTAAAAAACAGGCGGAAAAAAGGAGGTTTTGGTTAAAAAAATGAGGTTTTGGTGAAAATCAGGAATAAAAAAACAATGTTCTGGTGCAGAACAGGCGGAAAGATGTGGGATTTGGGGCTCCCCTGGGCGCTGCCGGTGGTCCCGGCGCCCGGCCCGGCGCTGGCAACAACCGCTGCCAAGGGATTATCCCGGAATGTGACCCCGGCGGCTCCGGGTGTCCCCGGCTGTCCCCGCGCCAGGGCTGGCACCCGCTGTCACCTCCCCTCGGGGACAGCCGGCGGCGGGTGACGGCACGCGCCGCGCTGGCAGATGTGGCACCTCTGTGTCACCCGCGCGGGTGTCACCGTCACGGTGGCCCTGGGCCAAGGGGCTGGGGGAATCCTCGATGTCACCCGCGTCACGGTGACGCTGCTGTCACCATGGGGGGGGGTCAGGGAGTGCTCTGCCGTCACTTGGGGACTGTCACCGTCACGGTGACACCGTGGGGGGGTCAGGGAATGCTCTGCTGGTGTTTCGTCACTGTCACTGTCACGGTGACACCGTGGGGGGGTCAGGGAATGCTCTGCTGTCACTTGGGGACTGTCACTGGTGTTTTGTCACCGTGACGGTGACACTGCTGTCACCGTGGGGGGGGTTCAGGGAATGCTCTGCTGGTGGCTGGTCACTGTCACCGGTGTTTTGTCACTGTCACCGGTGTTTTGTCACTGTCACCGTCACGGTGTCCCCATGGGAGGGTCAGGGAATCCTCTGGCGGCAGTTGGTCACTGTCACCGTCACGGTGACACCGCTGTCCCCAGAGAGCCGGGGAGTGCTCTGTGTCACTGTCACGGTGTCACCGGTGCTTGGTCACTGTCACTGTCACGGTGTCCCCAGATGAGGGGTCAGGGAATGCTCTGCCATCACCTGGGGACTGTCACGGTGTCACCGGTGTTTTGTCACTGTCAGAGGTGTTGTGTCCCCATCCCGTCCCCATGGCTGACGTCACCATGTCCCCCTGGCTGATGTCACCGTGTCCCCATCCCGTCCCCATGGCTGATGTCACCGTGTCCCCGTGGCTGATGTCACCATGTCCCCCTGGCTGATGTCACCGTGTCCCCCTGGCTGACGTCACCATGTCCCCCTGGCTGACGTCACCGTGTCCCCCTGGCTGACGTCACCATGTCCCCCTGGCTGACGTCACGGTGTCCCCTGGCTGACGTCACGGCTGACGTCACGGTGTCCCCTGGCTGATGTCACGGTGTCCCCATGGCTGACGTCACGGTGTCCCCATGGCTGATGTCACCGTGTCCCCTGGCTGACGTCACGGTGTCCCCATGGCTGATGTCACCGTGTCCCCGTGGCTGATGTCACCATGGCCCCCTGGCTGATGTCACCGTGTCCCCATGGCTGATGTCACGGTGTCCCCACGGCTGACGTCACGGTGTCCCCACAGCTGACGTCACAGTGTCCCCACGGCTGACGTCACCGTGTCCCCTGGCTGACGTCACGGTGTCCCCATGGCTGATGTCACCGTGTCCCCTGGCTGACGTCACGGTGTCCCCACGGCTGATGTCACCATGTCCCCACGGCTGATGTCACGGTGTCCCCATGGCTGATGTCACGGTGTCCCCGTGGCTGACGTCACGGTGTCCCCATGCTGTCCCCACGGCTGACGTCACGGTGTCCCCACGGCTGACGTCATGGTGTCCCCTGGCTGACGTCACGGTGTCCCCACGGCTGACATCACGGTGTCCCCATGGCTGACGTCACGGTGTCCCCTGGCTGACGTCATGGTGTCCCCACGGCTGATGTCACCGTGTCCCTATGGCTGACGTCACGGTGTCCCCGTGGCTGACGTCACCGTGTCCCCATGCTGTCCCCACGGCTGATGTCACCGTGTCCCTATGGCTGACGTCACGGTGTCCCCGTGGCTGACGTCACCGTGTCCCCATGCTGTCCCCGCGGCTGACGTCACGGTGTCCCCACAGACGGTGACGAGGAGCTGTTGCGGGGTCTCGAGGGGTCCCTGGGGGTGAAGAAGAAGAAAAGGGGTCCCCGGAAACAGAAGGAAAACAAACCCGGAAAACCCCGGAAACGGAAAAAACTGGTGAGGGGCTGTTGTCACCCGGAGGGGTGTCGGGGTCAGTCACACTTCTGGGGTGTTTTTGGGGTGGTTTTGGGTGTTTTGGGGGTGTTTTGGGGTGTTTTGGGGTAGTTTTGGATTTTTTTGGGGTGTTTTTGAGTTGTTTTTGGGATGTTTTAGGGTAGTTTTGGGGTGTTTTTGGGTGTTCTTGGGGTGTTTTGGGGTAGTTTTGGGTGTTTTTGGGGTGTTTTGGGGG